AATCGAATTTAAACTCGATTAAACTGCACCTAAATGTAGTTTTAACTTTGAGAGAATACCCTGCCTGGGGTTGAAGGGACTGCAGCTCCTGGCCAAGTGGGGCCTGGCTGCTGGGGTAAATCCTAGCCAAGCCCGCTGCACCAGGGATGTCTGTGCTAGGCTGGCACACCCTTGAACCTGCAGGGTGAACACTAACCCTGCAGGCTGTGTCCCTGCAGCGCCCCACGGCCTTGTCCCCACCACCAAGAGAAAGGCCAAACCCACCCAAACCAGCTGCCACATGACATGTGCCCAGCATCCCACAAAGCCCAGATGGGAGGTGCTGGATGTGGCCCTGGACGCTGCCAAAATTGGGGTTTGGCATGGCAGGAGTGAGACTGGGTCTTGCTGTGGCCACACCAGTACCTGAGGGGAGAGTAAAACCCCAGGAGCKGCCACCTGCACTCTGCTGTAGGCTCTCTGCACCCCACAGCACCCTRCTGGATTCCTGGGGGGCTGTGCGGGAGGCACAAGTAAACATCTGCATTTATGATGATTTCCCCCACTTTTTTCTATTTTTTTTTTTTTTTTAAAGCACATATGTGGTTGCTTTTTTTCCTTTATTCCCAGCTGGGAAACTGTAGGGAGTTGCAAGTAACTCAGCTGCAACTGGGAATTCCAACTGCATCACACACACAGGAGCCTCCTGCGTTTGATGCTGGCCAGTTCCCCCAACATTAAAAATCTTCATTTCCTTCTGCATTCCAAAAAATATCCAGAGATATTTTTCCCCACTATCCTTTCAGGCTGAGTAAACTCCTGAAGCATCAGGATACCAGATGCTGTAGTCTCCTGCAGGGAATGCATTTACATTTATTCTAATGTAGGGAAATCATCCTCATGCAGCCATTGGGAAGCGCTCAGAGTTCCTCAGGGGAGCGGCGTTGGGGGACAGCATGGGGACAGTGACTCCAGCCCTGAGGCTGGGGGCTAAGGGACACACGGTCAAACACCCGGGCAATATTGGCAGCCCAGCTGGAAATCACTTTTTTGTTCCACCAGCCCTGCTAAAGGGATGGCTTTGCAACGTTTTGACTGAAAATGTTTGCTGAAAATTTTCAATCACTGGAAAGTTTTAGTGCAGAGAGCTTTTGGAGCTCCTCCCTGGCATCGCCGGGGCTTTGAGTTTCCCTTGGCCGCTGCTCTTTTTTTGTTTTGCTTTTTTGTTTCCCTCCTTCCTTATTCTACTGAAAAAAAMCAAGGGAAAAAACTGGGGGAAAAGCTAAATCCACGTTTATTAAGARACAAACCCTTCCTGAGCCGTGGTCCCTCTTGCCCTCAGCCTCTGCCAGGAGAGGTCCCCAGCTGGTTGAGGTCCCCAGCTCGCTTCCCAAGTGGGCAGTGCTGTCTTTGCCAGCACTGGAGGAGCACCATCCATGGGGAGGGGGCTGGATGGCAGCAGCCTCCTGTGCCCACCAGCTCCTGGACACAAATCACCCAGGAATTCTGCTGCAGAGCCCCTGTCCCCACACGGGACTGGGGCTCCCCTGCTGCCGGGATGGCAGGCGGGTGGGACACGCCAAGGCCAGGCTCAGGGAACATCGAGAGGCTCCCCATGAGCCTGTGCCAAGGCTGTGTGGATAAGGGGGTTCAGGATCCCCGCCCCGGCTGGCACTACAGCCCCCAGCATGCCGCGCCGCCGGCACAGCCTTGGCGGGAGCACAGTGCAGCATGCCGGGACCCGTAGTCCTCCTCCCGTCCAAAAATGCCATTTTAGACCTTCTCTGGGCTGGATGCAGCCCCATTTTCTGCAGSAGCAAGCGCCTCCCCAGCCACGGGCTCGCTGCCTCAGCCCGGGACGTCGCAGCCGTCCGGGGAGCGAGGAGCAGCCAGCGCGTCCCGGTGGCTCCAGCTGCCCCGGAGACCTGCCAGGAGCACGGCCAGGGGGCTGGGGACATCACCCTGTGGGTGCTGCAGCCGGCAAGAGCCCCCCAAGAGCCGAGAACTCTCAGCCGTGCTCCGAGAATCCCAGCCGTGCTCCGAGAAATCCCAGCCGTGCTCCGTGCTCCGTGCCACGGCATCGGTCCGACGGGACACGGGGCTGGGGAGCCACAAGCGGGCTCCTGGCACCAGCATGGGGCACGATGCTCACGAGCATCGGAGCAGTGGCCTTGTGTTCCCCTCCCCAGCTGCCCCGGAGCCTGGCTGGGGGACCCTGGGGACAGCAGGGCCTCTCTGGCTGACCAGCGCGGCCACCGGCTCTGCCAACACACACACAGGCGGGAGCTGAGGGGGACACCAGGGACCGCTGACCCGGCATGAGACACAGGGGGAACACTGGCACTGGGGGTCAACTGGCAAAAAAGGGGCCAATTGTCACCTGCCCGAGTGAGGCACAGCCCTGCTGCTGCCCCAAACCCTTCCCAGCCAGACCCACACCCCAGCCCCGCCGGCTGGGCTCCGCCACGGAGCACGGCTTGATCCGCATTCCCCCAAAATCCCAAACTCGGGGGTTGAACGCGTCCCCACGCAGCCCAGAGCGACTCACCGGAGGGGAGCGGGGCTGCGGCGCAGGGCGGGCGGGCTCCTCGCCCCTCGCCCGGGCCGGGRGAGCCAGGCGAGGAGCGAACTTCCCCGGGCTGATGCAAGATGCCTCTGGGAGCTCGCTCGAATTCTGCGGATTCCTGGGAGCCCGCCAGAAGTCCCACAATCCTACATCTTGCACATTTGGTTTCAATTAGGGAGCGGAGAAGGGGAGCCAGTCAGCGATCCGGGCTGGCTTTTCGGCGGAGGTTATTTTCCTCGGCCCGAGGGAATGTGCGCAAAGCTGTAATTTACAGCAAAACCCATTCATAGCGCAAGAGAAAAAAAAAAAAAAAGTCCCCGTGGCCGGCAGGAGGACTTAAAGCAATAGGCAACGTTTGGCTTTCYAGTGCTTGCCCCGTAGCTGTGGCACGGCACGTGTGGCCAGGACCCTCCTCCTGCACTGTGGGGCCGGGTAGAACACCCCCAAAATGCAGGCGATGGGGATGCTCCACARAACCCCAAAGCTGGCACAGAATCCCACATGGGCTACCCCTGTCCGGGCCCCTGTGGGGAGCGTTTGGGACTCCTGCACGGGCACACGTGGCCAGGACAGCGGCCAGAGAGCCAACCTGCCTGGCACAGGGCAGGGAATCGRTGCTCCAGCGGGCTCCACGCGGGGCTGGTGGCTCCACATCATTTCCAGGCACCAGCTTGGCACCGCGGCTACGCAACGCGGCAGGGAGAAAATAATAACAATAATGGGCTCACGATAATTCTTGTGCAATAGCAAAAACCACAATTAAGGAATTTTTTTAAAAGCTTTTTTTATTTTTTTTTGGACTGTTTTGGCTGTATTTTATTCTACTCTCACATTATGCGAGGGAAGCAGCACCCCTGGCAGCAGGCCAGCAACTCCCTAAAAGGCTTTCCTGTCCCACCAGGCACCCCAAAGCCCCAGGGCTGTAGCCTTGCTCCTAAACCAACCTCTCTGCCATTCTCCCAGCCTGGAATCTCCAAACCAACCGAATCACAGGCAGGGGAAGCCGCCCCCTGCCCACAGCAGGCATTGGTGACCCTCGCCACTGCCACCAGAGGGCCTGCAGCGCCAGCTGAGCCAGGGGTGCCCAGGGTGACAGAGGCAGGGCACAGCTGTCCCCGGGCTGGCAGGGAGCAGGGCAGAGCCGTGCCCGTGTGCTGCCCCAGATCAGCTGGCAGGGAGCACAGGCTGCCTTACGTGCGCAGCAACACAAACACCAGCCAGCCAGCTGCTCCCCTCCTGTACCTGGAACTGTACCTGTTCTTTGTGCTMCAAGAACCTGGCAGCAGCCAGCAGCACCCTGCCCCTCTGTCCCAGGRCCTGATGCAAAGGTGGTGGTCTGCAGAGCCAAAACCCCAAAGCCTCGGCCACACACACAGCCCGGCCAGGCTGCGGTGAGCCAGCAGCAGGCACAGTGCCAGCCAGGACCCCTGCACAGCCCTGGYGGCCCAGGCACAGTGCCTGGGGAACCCAGCAGCCACCTTTGCCCTCAGGGGACGTGGGGACTTCCCCCAGAGGGAGTGGTTTGGATCCCATTCCCAATCCTGCAAAGGAAAATCCCTCCCCAGGCAGAAACGGGGCAGTGGGAGGCTGTGACCACATCAGGATCAGGAGAGCAGCTGGCCAAACTCTACTCTTCTTCCCAAAAAATATATTCTTCCCAAGTAAGAGGYGAGGCAGCTGCTGTGCCTGAGGCAACCAGGACACCACACACCCTGGCAGTGGCTCTGGCAGGAGCCCAAGAGCCCCTCCAGGAAAAGCAGAGGGCTGGAGGGCGCGGTGCCAGGCTGGTTTCACCCTGAGCACTCAACACAACTGCCTGCTCCTACCTGCTCAAGGCTTGCCACTGTTTGCAGAAATCCGAGGAAAGTGCAACTCTGCTTCCTCCAGGAACACCCCAAATAAGYACTGCAGGCTAGGGGACCTGTCTGCAGCCACCTTTGCTGCACCAGGCACAGCACTTAGCACGATACAGTCGGSTCTCTGCTCCATGAGCCTCTTGGTGGAAAGCCACTGTCACTCAAACACCACCACATGACAAACAGGAGGGACTCAGAGTTTAATTGGGTGCTTCCAGTTGTGCAATATACAAAGGATGACCAAAAGGGAGGACATGGGCAATGACAAGGACCCTATTAAAAAAAAATAGTCGTGTAGATTTAAGAAAAATAAAAATTCAAGATTAAACCCAGTCCCGTACCATAAAAATCCTCTCTCTGCATGTACAATGACTATTACTATATACATGTTTAAAAATAAATGCCCACAGCCTGGAGTGCAAAGAGCAGCACCACAGCCGTGCTTCGTGGCGGGGGAATCCATAAAGTGTTTGGTTTTTAAATTAAAATATAAATAGAAGCGTACAGCGTGCCGAGAACCGAGTGGGTTAAATCCTCCTCTGCACAGGGTTGGAGCGAGCAGGACCAGTCCTTAGTCCCAGCTCTAAACCTTCATGTGTCCGAGTTCCTGTGGGATGGGCTGCCCTGCCCGGGCACCACGCTGCCCCTACAGCCCATTCTTCACCAGCTCGTGGATCCCRTCCTCGTCGATGATCAGAGGTGTGCGGAACTCTCGGTCCTTCACGTATTTTTCCAGACCCTACAGGAATGAGAGGGGCTTAGGAGCACATCACAAATCATCTGCTCTGCTGAGCTRCTCACAGGTGGCTCTGCTTCCCTCCTGTGCTGGCAGCTTGGGGGGCACCACCCCAAAAAGCTCCCCAGTGTATTAGAGTCACGATTTTGTGGCTTATCCCCTAAAAACCCACTCCCTCTGCAAGGCCCCCCCTGAGCTCTGCAGAGCCACTACTCACTTCTCCTCCATAGGAGACCAGGGGAGAAATCTCACACTGGATGGGCAGGTCGTTTGCATCCTTCAAGCTGCAGAGAAAAAGGAACAGTCAGGAGAGTTGTGTACACCCCACAGGGGACACGGATGGGGCCCAGGATCTCCAAGGCCGGGCGAAGGATGGGGGGCTGCCTGGGGCAGACCCTGCCAGCGCAGAGCTGCCCTGGGTTAGTCAAGCCTTGCGTGCTCTCCACAGAGCTGCGAGCTAGAGTTTAGATACCAGCAACGACTGAAAGGGAAAAGAGCTTTAGATGGGGCTTCCATGATGCCTTTCCACGTGTGTAAGTACCTACAGCAGCGCCTCTGCCCCCAGCCCTGCTGTTTCTGATGCTGCATGGAGACTCATCACCCCTTCCTCCTCCTCCTGCAGCCAGGGGGTGATGTGAGATGCACTCACACAGCACCTTCCCATCCAGCAGCCAGGCAGGATGCTGTGACAACACTCGCTGCACCCAGGCTGAAGCTGGTTCCTGCTGCCACGCACTCACTCAGACCCCTCCTGTCCCAGGTGTGAGTAAATAAAACTCACCCGTTCTAACCCACACCTGTGTTTGCCTTGGAGTTAGATTCAAGATAGTTGTTTAAAAAAAAACATTAACTGGTAAGGAAGGGTAAAGGCAGGACAAGGTGCATCCTTTCTCCTCCACTCTAACTAGTGTGATAAGCCTGAAAACAGCTGGAATTAAAACAGAGATAAAACAGCTGTATTCCAGCAGAAAGTACCTGACAATACAGCATCTGAAGAGGGGGAAGGGAACAAGATTGCTTGGTCTGTGAATCATTTACACTCACCAGCTCCAAGTCCCAGCACCCCTGTTTCCACAGAACACACTGCTGCTGACGGAAGAGTTAAAGCTTCCCTGTGTATTCCCGTAAACCTTCCAGCACTGAGCCAGGGGCTTTCCCTGCTGTCATGGTCTGGATCTTCCAAACTCCAGAGCTGGAGTCACACAAAGCCCAGCTGGCTGCTGCGCTCACATTCACACATGCTACATCAAAGCCTGCCTGACGTTTGCTTCGTGTTTTTAATCCCGTTTCAGTCTGCCTGGCAGACACAGGGAGATGGGAGCCATCTCCAGCTCCAGGATCAGTCCCAGCTTTGCTGTGACAAACCAGGGAGTGTCATCAAAGGAGGTGCCAGGGCTTCCCAACAGCATCCCCCTGTGGGGTGACCTTTGGGGGCTGCGTGCAGCCACCCTGCATCTGTACCGGTGGCATCAGCCCCATCCATCCAGTCATCCCCAGCAGCTCTCCCTGCAGAAAGGAGCCCAGCAGGGAGCAGATCTGCCTGCRCCCGCCACCAGAAGCGGCACCCACCATGGGGTGACATGCCATGGCCAGCATGCGGCCCCGAGCCCCCGGCCCCGTTAGCCTGGCACGCTGCTCCGCCTGCAGCCCGTTAGTCCCTAAGCACAGCCCCGCCACCATGCACTCGGGACATGGATAGTTACTTGTCATTGACATCTGCTGGGCTGGCAGCTGACCTTCCGTTTGTGACGCTACACGGGAATAAACAAGGGTTAGTGAGGGGGGAAAAACAGAGCAAAACGAGTCTGGGGATTGCCGATCTCCAAAGAGGGCAGAGGGAGATCTTGTGGTTGAGGGATGCTCGATGCAGCCTGGCTGCTGCATGGATCTGCTGGTGCCACCTCCTCCCTGCAGGGGCAGCCTGGGCTGTGCAGTGGAGGCTGGCAGGACTCAGTTCTCAGGTGCTGAATTGGGGAGGAAAGCTGCTGCTGACTGAGCGAGCACCACTCCACTGTTGCCACCACACAATCTGCCACCCAGGAGAGGGGACCCTAGCTAGTCACTTCAGTGACACTGTTACCGGTGCTGGGATGGCCTCGTGCCTGATACCCAGCCCAAAAAGGATAAAGGAGTGACAGGAGCAGCAACTCACCGCGGGATGGCAGGGATGCGTGTGCCATTTTCATCCACAAAGTGGCCCCCTGCATTGAGAACCCAGCAGTGGTGCAGGGACATCAAGGCATGGCGGGCTGTGGTGGGGTTGTCCTTGCCATTCTGGCTGTCTGCATTCTTCAGGGGAGAGAACTCGTCCTCACGCAGCACCTCGTACACCACGAATTTCCTGTGGAGGGGGGAAAGCAGAGCATGGGAGGGTCACGTTTGGATACYGTGATTGCTTCATCGTTTTGGCTTCTCCTCTGCCAGGGCTGTTTTCACAGGRGGAGGGGAGCGCCTGGGCCCTAGKGTCAGCAGATGCTCCTCTGGCCCWGGAGCCAGGCTCAGCCAGAGACATGCAGCACCCATCCCTCCAGCTGCTCACATCCCTGCTCATCTCTGAGCACAACTGTCCACTGCTGCTGGACAGCACAGCAGCTGGCATCCCATCCTGGGCACACCCTGGCACARCCCCACA